GGGTAAGGTACAGAGTAGATTCTGGTAAGAAACATTGTAAGAAAAGTGACACGAGTCATGAGATATAAATGAGAAAACCATAAATACAACACCCTTCAGTCTTGCTAAAATAGTACATTTTTGCTGCATCATGAATAAAATCTGGTTTTGAGTGAAATAAGTATTAATAAATATATTTGTTAAGCATTTATAACATGTGAGTTAAAAATGGCTTGCTATTTGGCAGGTATTGCATTAAAATCACCCTTTTACTCATGCATTTATAACTGCTTATCAATGATTTATAATGCATTTGTAAGTGAGTTATTAGTCATTTATTAACACCTTTATAAACCCTTTATAAAGGGAACCTTAATGTAAAGTGTTACCGCTAAAGTTTTATGTGGGGTTAAATTTTAGACTTTGGTACTGTGCTTGTCATGATCCTGTGTTTGTCTTGTTTTCTGTCAGCTGTGTGTGAGAACTACATGCCTATTTATTTATTTTTGGGGCCAGATCTATTAAACAATTCAAAAATACATTAAATATTAATACTACTAATAATGATAATTAAAAAAAATCTAGTGTATAAAATCTATTAGAATTCAATCAATCAATAAATACAAATATATAATATAAATATTACATTTCTAAGAACTTGGCACATAGGTTTTAAACTAGATTTTTAAAAGACCCCCTTTTTCTTTTTTAGCATCCTCATCTTTATCGTTGACACATTTGGCAGCTTTTGTAAAGGTAGCTAAGACCCATCACAATTCACTATACAAACACATCAGACATTCGTGAAAAATATGCAAATTATATCACAATGACATTTAGTCAGTCACATATTGAACATCAAAAATTGTATTAATGTAAATCGACAGGAGATTTTCAAACTTTAACCTTAATTTCTTAAAAATGTAAACCAAGTTTGAATGGAGGAAATCTATACATTTAGTGGTTTGGGGAATTAATTTTAAGTTACATTTTTATGATTATGGGTTTAAAACAAACTGTAACCAGAATGTTCAGCACAGTGCTGTCTTGCAAAAATTGCTAAAACTTCTCATTCAACAAGTAATTTGTCTTTTAATAATGTTTCTGTCTGTGTCTGTGCTGTAGTTCCTGAGAGTTTGACCCTGAAAAATCCTGGACAGTCATACTTAAAAGTGTCTCCAGGGGGCGCCAGAATCCGACAAGCTGACAGAGTGACTGGTCTGTATAAAGACTTCAACCCTGGTACAGTTTCAGAGGAAAACTTCCAAACTGGCCAGCACTACTGGGAAATAGAGGTCAGAGAAAAGCCAGACTGGACTGTGGGAGTTAAGATGGGAGCAGCAAAGTCAGCTGAGAGTGAGATCCTGCTCCACCTTAAACACAGTAAAGGATACGTTCTGTCCTGTGATGGAAAGGACACTACATTGAATACTCGAGACAAACCACAGAAAATAGGGTTGTATCTGGACTGTGAGAGAAAGCAGGTGTCATTCTATAACGCAGACAGCATGTCTGGCTTGGCCCAGATAAACTACAAACTAATTAAACCTTGCTGTCTTACTCTGGTTCCAGGACTTTATCTGGATGGAATGAACAGTGATCCTCTCACTGTCTGCTCATATGAGTTTAACACTGGCAAATGCTGACATGCTAGCACAGTTACTAGCTGCACATTTTTGAGACATTGTAAACGTCTCAGATTTGAGACATAGGGGATATCTAAGTCATCAAAGATCAGATTATAACAAAGATGTTTTAAGCTTTACAGCTGTGTCTGCTAAATGACACATCATGATAATTTGAACTACAATTTAATTTGGTTTCAAGAACAAGGAGAAAAATTCATTCTTCAAATTAATTTCTCAATTGCAGGCCAGGATGTCTGAGTTTGACCAACAAAAGAGTAATTAACAATCAGGTTGTCTTCCTTTTTTACATGTACAGGTGCATCTCGATAAATTAGAATGTCATGGAAAAGTTCATTCACAAATTAGCTGAGACATATACACATCTATACATTAAAAAACATATGTAAATAAATAAATAACAGACATCTGAGACAAGCGTGGCATGCAGGTAGTGGCCATGGATGGCTGGTGTTTTGGAGGATGGGGGGAGAGCTTTGGGCCCTGTTTCCCCGCAGCATCTTTCCAAGGCTCTCCCGCTGTGGCGTGACATGGGCTTGGGATTAAGCTATGATATGTTGTTGCGACGGAGGGATCAGGGACAACCCTAATAATTTATTAAATATTTATTAATATATAATTTATTACTATTATTAATAATATCATTACTATTACTTGCATCATTCACTGTCCTCCACCCTTTCCTAATCTTAATGAAATCCTTATTATTATTATTATTGTTGTTATAGTTATCTTTGTCATCATTATCGCTTCCAATACTTGTTGTCTCCACTGGTCTTGTCATATTGTTTGTTTTTATTTATTTTTTATTATTATTATATTATTATTATATCTGTTAAATATTTTAGATACTCAATGATTTGTATGCTTCCTCCCACACACTTACATACAATGACATGCACACACACACACACACACACACACGCGCTCACAATCACAAGAATACATATACAGGAGTTATCAGAATGATCTTGAAATGTTAGCTATCTGGATATATGTTTGTTTGTCCAAGTGATTCTGTATTTGGCACTTGTAAATATTGTCACATTCCTTACTTGCATAATAAAAAAAATAAAAGATCCTTGCTGGTGAATTTTACACAATCACAGGAAAACCGCAATGCATTTTCCTTACACCTCCATGCCACGCCGAATTGAGGCAGTAATTAAAGCAAAAGGAGCCCCTACCAAGTATTGAGTACATGTACAGTAAATGAACATACTTTCCAGAAGGCCAACAATTCACTAAAAATGTTTTTTTTATTGGTCTTATGAAGTATTCTAATTTGTTGAGATAGTGAATTGGTGGGTTTTTGTTAAATGTGAGCCAAAATCATCACAATTAAAAGAACCAAAGACTTAAACTACTTCAGTCTGTGTGCATTGAATTTATTTAATACACGAGTTTCACAATTTGAGTTGAATTACTGAAATAAATGAACTTTTCCACGACATTCTAATTTATTGAGATGCACCTGTATATCTTTGTATTCATTTTCAGTTTTAGATGGCTTATTTCAGCTTATCTATTAAGTTATCCATTAAGTTATCCTGCCAAGAGATATGAGTGGTTTTCTGCTTTTCTTGTAAATGTTGTTTGATGAGCATACCTTATCTGTCTTTCATTTTATCCAGTGGCATCTGGTATATGAAATCAATAAATACTACAGTACACTCTAAAAAATGCTGGGTTGTTTCAACCCAACTTTGGGTCAAATATGGACTAACCCAACCGTTGGGTTAAAAATTTTATGTAAAAATTTAACCCAACAGTTGGGTTAGTCCATATTTGACCCAAAGTTGGGTTGAAACAACCCAGCATTTTTTAGAGTGTATGTTCTCTCTTTCATTTTATGTAAATATTACTAATTTACCCAAGATACTTAACATAAAACCATGTCGAAGCATGTTGTGGGTGGGGAATACAATTATTTATGTATTTTCTTATTTAGGGTTAAGAGGAAACATAGGTCAGGATCTGTCTCTGCATTGAAATTATCTGTGGAAAAAACATCTGTAAATACACAGTATCATGTGATAAATAAACTAGACTATTAAAACATTTAAAATCTTTTTGTAAAAGTTGAATTTATTTTAAAGATAAAAATAAAATTATAATTTATATTAAACAATCATACATTTATTAAGGTACCTGTCTCACTTTGTAGATTACTGTATTTAATATCATATTTAAAGCAGTCTGTACAATATGGAGCACTGGAAAATTACATTGAAAGCTGTATGCAAATATCTACAATATCCATAAACATTAAAATAAATTGTGCTGTAATCTTTATATATATATATATATATATATACAGTGGTGTGAAAAAGTGTTGGCCCCCTTCCTGGTTTGTCACACTTTAATGTTTCAGATCATCAAACA